GCTGGCGAACGAGCTCGTCGTAGTGACAGCATCTACCGAATAAGACGCCGAGGTTCATGGGCAGACAACTGACGGCGCACCCGCAGTATCTTGAGTGTCGCACATAGATACTGTGAGGTTGATGCCACAAAGGTCTGGTAACTCTACTTAGTCTACTATCAGCTACTATGGGTTCATGCGTACCTGTTCTAAGCCCGCTGCATAGCCATACAACTCTTGCTCACACTGCGCAACCTGACTCTACGCAGCTTGACAGAACCTATATTGAATCGGAAGAAAGCGAGGAGCCTCAGCTCTGTGAGTTCGAGTCGCTCCGGCTCGCTCGACGTTCGGTGGGCAGAAAGTGGGCGCTAAGTATGCCTTTTGATCGAATTACTGTATGCGGCAGTGTACCTGAGGACCCCGGGGGTGAGACCACCTAGAGGTAGCTAAGCGAATTGTTTCAATAAGATCTGAATCGTGGATGCCTCCTGCACGACATGAAAATTCTAACGAAGTAATCGTTTTGAAGACGCTGAACTTTGATTCTTTTGAGACACGTCATGTTTCGCGGTTTGCCCCAGTCCCTGCTAGCCCCGCCAGTCTACTGTGTTGTTCAGCGTACTGCCTGTCGATGTTTTCAGGTTATTACAACGAGATCAAGGGACTTCGGTGATGCGCTTGGGTATGCCGCGGGTGATTGTGGTTCCGCAAGCCAAGGCGCGAGATTTGACAAAATCAGTCGCAATCGGGAATTTCAGACAAATTAGCAGCTCCATAAAAACTAAAATAGATTATTTCAACTATTTACACAAGCCCGGCTAGTTCGGGGCGACGGCGGCGGTGCCGGGCGGTCACAGGAACGAGCGTGAGTCGACCGACACTTCGGGCACGCGAGGCGGGCGCACACCAGTCCTTATCTTGCGGGCTCGGACAACTCCGGCGATGACCCGGGCGAACTGAGACAGCGAGGCCAAGCAGTACCCCTGCGCAACCGTACGTATGACGAGTACAGCGAGTACTTTCATCTGGTATGGTCGTAAAAGTGCAGTACCATACATTGGCCGCAATGTGCATACGTGAGCTGTAGTTACCGTGCACCTTGCAGTTTTTTCTTTCTTTCTTTGGACATCTGAATATGAAGACACGTACTCCTCGTGGCGTGTCATTTGATACACATGAAGTGAACAGTACTAGTAGAGCGCATGATTTTGAATAATTTGTTGTATAGTCCTGCTACGTGAGATGCAAGATAATTTGCGATGAGCATTCTCGTACAGAGACAAGAACCTACGGTCGATATGTCCCGGCTCACGAGAAGAGGGCACGCACTGCAAGCATGTCTGTTATCGTGAGAGTAGGTTACGTAATTAAATACACAACCAAACACGGTAAGCAACATGCCGTTTCGGGAAGCTCACCACCGGGTCACGTCCTAGCCGCTTAATGATCGTTCCTTGATCACGCTGAGAGCACCAAAGCAGTGTTAGCAATGTGAAAGCAGCGGTACATATAAAGCGTTCCGTGTACATGATAGTAGGTGACGAGCAAACTTCCGTTATCCTAGAGTCGAGCGGCGTGCCATGCTCAGCATCCCAACGATCCGCTCGTACATACCAGTCGAAATCCAGACGCCAATCCGGACGAAGGAGAAAATATCCAAGAATGCGGTCTGGGCCCATACTTCGTCCCGGCCGCGCAGCCTGCTGATACGGTGGAGACGCGACATGTTATCCCTGATCGTGCGCCAGAACTCCTGCGCTTCGGCCGCCGTGGGCCGTGACTGAGGCTCGCGAGCGGTCATAGTACTGAAGAGAGGCTGAAGAAATTCTAGATTGGAGTAGTTCTGCACGAGAGGGTTAACAGTAAGTCGGTAGTGATTGCGGAGATGCACGTACTTCGTATATTTCCTTCTTGATAGTATTGCCGAGGATGAAGACGTCCAGCTTGAACGGATCGTACGGTTTCTGCGTGGGTGTCCCACCTGACGCCGCCCTCTTTACACGTAACTCTGGAGGATCGCGATCGCGGCCAAGACGTCCAGTCACCAACTTAGGAGTGACTTCCGGCGGGATGCGGACGGATATCCCAAAGTCCACGTAATAGTACATGACGCGCGCAGCGGACCGCGAAAGATGTGGAGCATCGGTGCTGACGTCTGATAATAGTGTGTCGCGGATCGGATGGAAGCCTTGTGGGTAGAGCGTCGACGCGTCCATCATGATATTTTTCCTGGAGCAGTCTCTGTTGATGGTAAGAATCAAAAACGGAATATAGGATGTCCGTGCATACCGATGCGCTACCCCTTGCTCGTGAATGAAGACGAGTCCCTTTCTGAGTGTGAGCTCTGGCACATGCCAAGTGAAGAACTCCGGCATACCTCAAGCATCTGGTCCACGAAGTCCACGACGTCATCCACCGTGTCAAACGGTGGATCGTCCATAAGGCGAAGGAAAGGCATTACTATCAGCGACACATCCGGGTCGTTATCGTCCTCTATGATGTCCAAAATGGGCACACAGTGGTTTCGAATGTCAGAATTGAGAGGCGGAGAAGAAAGCATCGTCGCGATCTTTATCTCGTCGTTACCCGTGGACACGGCCTTGATATATACAAGCTTTCCGTCTTCAATACGCTCCGCATCTATGAGAAAGGATCGCTGTTGCGCATGTCAGTGTAAAACTAGGTTGTAAGGCGTAGCACCACTCACAGGAATGCGATAGAAGTCTTCACACCTCAAGAGATCGTCGTTGCCGTCTCGCCAGGAAGGTGTCCAACCTGGACGATACCTTGGTCGCAGACGATAGCCGTACGACTCCAGCAACGGTCCTCTTCTGCTCCATTCCTGCTCGGCCTGCGTGAGTACTGCGTGATCTCTAGCTAGTTCGTCAGATACGTCTTGCTCGTCGGAGGACTCTTCTCTGTCCATGGGCAAAGGGGACGACATCACTGTAGGGGCAAAGTTGTTCGAAGCGGGGTTGTTAGCGAGCTTTGAGAAAGTGCAGGGCATTGATGATTGATTACGTAAGAGTGATATCTGAGTAAACACGGCACAACGAATATAGCCGAATAACGGAACACTGACCGGAGCCTCGAGCTCTTGTTTCGCAAACGGTCTCCTTGCATAGCCCTCGCTTGGTTGACGACGGACTACATGTCCTGTCAATCCAGCCGTGTCGCCGCTGACAGACAGTCGCACGTTACCCAATTTGGTATCACTAATGACTCGTGTCCAATGAGCAAACATCCACATCGAACCTTTCGAAGACCCTCCTTTTGTTCTCCAGGATCGATGCCGTTTCATTTGCACGAAGGCAGTCGATGCAACCCCTGGCACGCCTGCCGCACGGCCCTAGGGTTCGACGCGAGAATATCGAAAACGGCTGCATTTCCTTCCAGTCCGTTTTGGGACCTTTAAAATAAGGCCCACTTGTTCGCATGCGTCTTCAGCTATTTCCCTGTCGCCATCCCTCCCGTCCCATTGCCACTGGTGCTGCTGGACGGTGCCTCAGCCTTTCCTTAACATTTTCCACGAAATCGGCTGGACCCGACCTCTGGGCACTTTCGCTGCCATTGCTGACGGAAAATTGTGAGTGCCTGTGGATACTGCGTTCTATTTCCTCTCATCGCTGCGACTTCAGCTGCAATCCTCGTGCTTTACGAACTTGACCGATTGCCTCAGCCCGAAGATGGCATTTCCGGCCGTAGCGGTTGTCACGGGCTTAGCTCTTCCAGAAGTCTACGCACTTTTCAAGGTCTACTGGCTAGAAGACCCGGAGGCCTTCCTAAATCAAGTGCACATAATCCTCCGAGAGGTTAACGACGGGCTGCAACGTATGAGCATGCTGCAGGTAACACGCATGGTAGAGCGGAATGTCTCTGAAAAGATGATGAGTTCGTCGGAATTCGAATTCGTGAAAGCCCTCCGTGATGAGCATAAGGAGTAGGTCACCCGTCTTGTACGAACGCGAGGTTACGTATTGATCTATTGAACGCAGCTGTGGCAAGCTCTATACGCGTTTCAAGCACGATTTGAAAAAGCACTACCCCAAGAAGTGGCAGCTGCTTTTGTACGGCTCTCAGTTGTATAAAGACATCAAAGACCTAAGGAAAAAAGTGGCCGATCTGGAGCTAGATTATCTGGTATGTTCGCAAACCGGTATCGTGCACGGTTTATGCTAACATTCAATACAGAAAACATCGTCGGCACTGGAGTTTTCCGACTATGAGGACTCGGACGATGAGGATACTGACAAGTAATAGACCCTGTTCTCGACAGCAGAATTCAAAGCAGTGCTTGAAATGAACGCCATGTTCTGCTAATAGGTGTCGATCTATTTTGGGGCCTGCGATGACCCATAGGCTACCAACCTGACTTGTTCGTTCGTTCACAAGAATTCATCTTGTGCAGTCTAGCTATAGTATTAGTAATATTAATCTCCGGGTCGACGTTCTGGTCTATGATTCTGCCGGTACCGTGCTGGAGATGCGCTACGTCTATCCGCCGACTTTGCATGAGAGGCGAGTATGCCTTGATGCTCTCGCTGGGCAGTTATAGTGATGATAGACACTGTAGATTCTCGACCTGAACGGCGGCCACAGGTCATAGGGGCCTCAAATCCGCCGCTTGGAGGTTTCTGTCACGGGTCGCAGAGGGGCTTGCCGGTGTGTGATGAGTACTATGGGCCTGCGGCGTACCCCCGACCCCCCCCCCCCACCAAAAAAAGGTCCACCGCGGCGAAGCGGCGGCTGTCACAGGTCACCGACGCTACGGTTGTACACGGCGACAATCACCCGCCACCATTCAGGTCGAAAAAGTACAGTATAGGGTATACGGGAAGCACTGCGAAACGTCGCTTTACGGCCTCAGTTGGCAGCCCTAGGCGCTTATGTTAGAGCGCTCGTCTCACCTGCGCGTCGACTCTCGAGCCTCAGATGCTCATGTACCAGGTCGTACGCACTAAAAGAACGTGGATTTAAATAATAATAATAATAATAAAAAGACTCTCGAGCCTCTGGACACACCCATGAGTGCCCGGACCTTGATAGTGTCCATCTTCCTAGCTTTGCCGCACTTCTATAGAGACTTTGTACTCGTGCTGGGAAGAATGCCAATGCCATCACGGTTACCATGAACAATAATCATATCCGTCACTTCCGCACCGATGCTCTTTGCAATGGGGCCAAAGAATCTCCAGGTACTCTGTTCTAGAATACAAGGTAATTATCTTTGCTTTGCGCATTTTGTCGGGAGAACTACACGCTCACAGAGACTCCACAATAGGTGGGCTCCCTGGTATGGGTGCTGAAAGTGAGCCTCTTCCTTGTCGACTACTTATAAGTAGTCAGGTAATGGGGGGTGACCAATTATTCCACTCTTTCTACAGCGTAGGGAACCACCCCATTTTTACCGTACACTGCCTGTTTTCTCTACTCCATGAACGAACTTCGTGGTCTTCCTTTCCGTATTTCCCGTGCGTCGTTCTCCTTTATTGCTTCCAGTTGATTTCGGACTCACGCGTCTTGCAGACCTCAGTCTCAACCCCTCTCATGGCGCGAAGCACAAGGCTGCAGTGTCTGTCGCAGTGAACGAGACGTTGATTTACGCGTCGCCAGCGATAGAGCCGGATACTAGCGGAAATTATGACTGGAGCTCGGGCGCTGAGTCGCTCCCCGACAGGCTCGTGAAATATATTCTCGTGCTATCCTCTGCTTCTAACCGAACCACAGTCGTGTCTACCCAGGAGTCTACCATATCAGCTTCGTCGTTAACATGCACCATGAATCGTTCATACGGAAGACTGTAGTAACTTCACGTTGTTTGAATGTTGGCTTTGCTGATCTCATTTGCGGTAAGAGCTTGTACCAAACATTGCCCGCGCCGATAGTCTTATAAACTCTGCCAGGTGGGCTGAGCTGCGACGTCGCTTACGAGGACGCAACCCTAATCGGGATCCTAAACGTTCAATTCACTGTTGTTCACGTAAAGACCAGCGATCAGGAATTGGGTCTTTTTAGGAGCACGCAGATACCGGTTCTGGAGTACCTGGGAAGTGTCTTGAAATGCTTACCGGTCATTCGCCCGCTGTCCGAGGCTCAAGATTCTCAGTCATACGTGAGCCTATATTCTTCGTGTATACTCTGACTTTGCCTCACGTAGAATTATGTGACTAGGAGACACTTCGGGCGGTCGCCATAGCTTTGTGGGCCTCATGGAGACCTGATCTCCCGGCCTTGGTCGAGAGCAAGAAGTCGTCGTTGCGGGGACAAGACGACGCTCTTGTTCGGTCCATTATTGCACCACAGGACAATGCGTTGGAAGACATGATACTTCAAGTGAACTGGCAGCTGAGCTTCTGGTGCGAGCGATTTGGCAACGCGGCGGGCGCGGAAGGGGATTTGCATCCCCCGGCGATCTCTGATCTTGCTATGCGACTGCTCGAGCACGCCGCACGCGGATTCGCGCTTGTATTCCAATGGGCGGACAACTTTTCTGGTCCGACCTTTCGTCCGTTCACGATGCTACGCATTATCGCTAACACTCGCGCTCTAGGTGCAACATGGGAATATTTCCAGACGATGACTTCTCGGAGGGCTTTGGCGTCTAAGGAACATCGGGATAGGTGTGCAGATACCCTGCGCGACTTGCAAGATGAGCTCTGCAACCTCCTTCGTTTCGCTTACGACATCCGCAAGGCCTCGGGACACCCGACTCTGGTGGCGCTTCAGGGGTCTATGGGGGATGCTCTCGTGGTATTATATCAGCATGCACGCACAGAGTCGTTTCAGAGAGTCAACCGAGGCCCATATACAGGTGTATTCGAGTGCATACTTGGGCCGAGTGTTCAATCCGCCTTTACCTGGATAGAATCTGTGAGTAAGACCTAGGCCTTTCGAAGTAGCTCGCTTACAAGGGAAACTGTCGCAGGATTTTCATAACAGCGGCACCGTTGAGGAGCGAGATGCGCTACGACGGCTGCTCACACGTCTTGCCCAACGCTCTGGAAAGCTTCCAAACTCCCTAATACTGCACGATATTCAGTACTATACCGAACATCCCGGCGAACATCCTCAAGCGATTGCGAAGGGCGGCTTTGCGGACGTGTACGTCGGCGTTCAGAAGGAGACGGTAGGAGAGAAGACGGCGGACAAGGTGGTCGCGATAAAGCAGTTGCGTGTGCTCCATAGCGACAGCGCACTGCAAAAACGTATACGGGTGCGTCGTGTCGTATGGGCTGTCACCTACACTTTTGACCTTTCGTCTCCGCTAGCAATTGTATCTGGAAATCCTGACGTGCCGCACTCTCATCCATCCCAACGTCCTTCCCATCGTCGGCATTCCAGAATCCCAGCAATCTCTGGCTGTGGTGATTCCATGGATGAGCAACGGCCATGTTCATAAATACCTGAACAAAGTCAGCGCGACCTATGGCGCTACTCCAACATGGCTGATCAATCGATGGGTATGTTATGTCTGCTTATCGCGCGACAGTGAGCTAACGGCACCGCCAGCTAAACCATATCGCTCGTGGCATGGAATACTTGCACCAAGAGGGCATCGCCCACGGAGATTTACGAGGAGTGAGAAAGAATTCTACCTTGTAGTGGCTTCAGCTGATATTTTGCGTGAGGTCAATGTCCTCGTCGATGACGATGAGACCGCCAGGATTACCGACTTCGGTTTGGCAGTTTACGTCAATGGTCATAGCCAGAACTACGCTTCGATGCGCACCGGAAACCCTCAGTGGTTGGCCCCCGAGATCTTGAGTCCGGCGGGCGGCAAAATGACAGCGAGGCCAACCCCAGCGGCAGACGTGTATTCGTTTTCCCATATGTGCATTGAAGTACGTGACCCTCCATCTTTTCAACCAACCGCTCATCCCGCAACCATAGCTCTTCACGGGTGACACGCCTTATCGCAGACCTGAGCAGGAGGGCTCGGATGGTGAGGAACAGCAGGAGGAGTTTGCTCTAGGAGCCTTCATCTCTGCTGTCGCCCAACTACACAACCCGCTACGACCGAGTCGCCCACCGAATATGCCAGATACATTGTGGGACATGCTCGGTCGCTACTGGGCAGCGGACCCAGCTGAACGACCGACTGCGGAGCAAGTTGTCGCAGACATGTCCATTTTACCACAGGAAAAACCTCTGTAGAACTTTAGGGGGAGTCCATGTAGACCTCGTCTAAGGCATACGGAGGAGGCAAAGTCCGCGATATATACCAATCCTAGTAGTTCAGCGAGCGTACATTTCGTGTTTGATACGCGATTAATAGCTCTCCGGAAATGCGTACCGTGCTCTGATAGACCTGTGAAATCACTCGTACACTGGCTCTGCCGTTGGTGACCGTAGGATGCTAAAGTTAGTACGCCGACGCGTGGTCGACGGTAGTCCTTCTCACGCGTCACGGATAATGCCGAGCTCTCAGATCCCGATCTGGTACAAACGCGAACGGTCAGATGGGCTGTGGAAGTGCCTGGATACAATATCAATATACGTCGGGAGACGATGGCAGAATCTGGGTACGACAGCTGGTCTGGGGCAGCCAGTTTTCAAGAGGGACAGTGAACTGCCGGCCGCCACCCCAGAGGCTCAGTAGATGTGGTCGTTCGCCCGCCTGGAAGCGAAAATTGAGATGGACGCGAAGTGCGTCGAAAATGGGATGTGATAGTGCTAGTGAAACCTAAATGATAGCGTGTAAAACATTCGAAAGTACGATACGTTGTGAAATTCACACGGAATATGGCTAATTTTAGCCATTTCTGTCACGATGCCCGTGTGCTACCACGAACTTGAAAATCTTGATCCGTAATGCGAGCACAAATCGGGCCGCTCAGAATCTTATCCGGTTATAAATCTGGTTAAAAGTTCCCGGGCGCAAGCCACCAAGAGATTTGGGGTCGAATCTCTTGGGGGATATGCCGGGGTCCTGAGGCGCGGCAGTCGTCAACTTACAGCGATTGAACAACTACCTTCCCGATTCCGTCTTCGCTTGGTCGCCGGCCAAGCACTAACACCAGCCCGCGCGACGCGCTCTAATTAGTGGCAGCCGTCGTATAAGCATAGTAAGGGATTTGCACATTCCTGGATGCCGGTCTTACTTAGGGGCACTGCATGCATCTCGTTACCAAGGCAAGTCTCCCACTCCTCATTGTCAGGTCTTATTGTCGAGCAGCGATGTCTGCTGTCAATGCGTTCTCAATGCACCGCCAAATCAGGAAGGCCATTGTATTCCCGTAGTTGTGCTGAGTGTTCGGCTACACAATCCAGCCCTGCGGACAAGAGGCTAAGTAACGACACGTCACAGTGAGCGCCGGTATCGATGAAGAGCATTTAAGGTCGCGCATTTTTCGCTGCAAGCATCCTACTCCGCAATTAATCCAGCATCACCATGTATCGTGAGTAGACTCCTCCGTAGCTGCCCTGCACCTCTGACTTCATTACATAGTTAGCGTTAAGCTGGTGCTTGTTCTTGCTAGTCACGATACTTCACTCGAATCGATAGAGCGTAAACTCCTCTCCATCCAAGAGGAGCTCCAGAAAATAGAACAATATGCGGCAGCAAATGCTCTCTCTGCGACAAAATTTGAACCGATCCACAATAACCTCCAGAAGTATGCTCCACGTGTTCTTGTTAAGTTAACACTAACGAGGCCGTGTCGGGACGTAGTTGCCTCACAGACCTCGAGCGACTGAAGCCCCAAGCAGGGTTTTATCAGACGCCAGCTGCAATCCCTGACCGCAAGGGTCGGTCGCCCACCATCGATGTACTCTCAAGGACGAACGACCTTGCCCGGCAGTTTCTGGTATGTCGAACCGCCGAGACAGTGTTCAAATTAGCTGATTTCCCGTCATAGGTCGCATGCGCTTCAATGATGGCTGACGAGTCTCAAAGACGTCGATAAAATAGTCGCTGATATCACCTATGACGGATGTTTATGCATTCGTGCTCTGTCCTCCCGCTATATTGAGGGCCGATTCCCTCAAAAGTGTAAGCTATAGTGAAGTATGTATAATGTAGTTCGGGGAATCCATGTAACTATGACCGTGTGCTAGTTCTCGTTACTGTCGTTCACCTTGGTATGCATCTCTGTCGAATTCGTCACCTCGTTGTGGATGCCTCCGTCGTTACCAGAGCAGAGAGCAAGGTCAAAGCGTGAGCGATAATTATCTAATCCCCCATATGTGCAAATAATGACCAAATAGTTACCCATAAAGCATGCCGATCAGCGCATCAAAGCGCCGTACGCTGTTGCACTATACGACTTCTTGCTTTTCTGTGTTATCGTCTCCCCTCTACGTAGCTCACCCTGCGTAAGCCGTCTGCGCCGATTATCCCAATAGCGGACGGAGTTGATGCGACCTATCTCGGTTCCCAAGCTGTTCTGTGGGGGATGCAGCCGCTGCGTCAGTTGCGGAAGGACTCGGAATTCTAAGGCGCCTGGGCACTTAGCCTAGCGTGGTGCTGATGGCCCCGATGACTGGCAACGTTTCTCAGTTCTTCCCAAACGTATCCCTACTGATCGCCGTCTGCACGGGAACATCGAGCTCCCTAGCGTCCATCGACTGCGGGAAGGCGATACCGACCAACCGACTGGTAGGGGCCGCCTTTCTGGCCTTCTTTGGACTGGGCCTGACGGCCTTCGCCTACGCGGTCACCTCAGTAGTCTAGACGGGTGTAGCATTTCCGCAACTGACCGTGAGCGGCTCGGATGCCCTGTTCTTGGGCATGAAGCAGAGGCTACCGACGAGATCAAGAATGCTCTGAAAGAGTTAGAAGCCAAACAGGACGAGATGAAGGTCTACCTTTCCGTCTCCAAGAACGATAAGGGTGTGAACACTGTGCCTTTGAAGGAGGAGCTCGATAGGTGCGCCTTCTGTGCTTTGCGAAGCTGGCTTATGCGCTGACTCATGATGTAGCTGCGAGCACGACTATCGAGAATACAACACAAAGTATATGGACGATGTCGTCTCGGCAGGGCCTAGAGCTATATGGCTTCATATTGGACCTCTCCGCTCGAGCGAGGCAACTTAATGCAAACCTTCTGGTGTACAAACGTGCTCATGATCATCCTAGATTTTAAACGACTGAACTACTTGTGCAATGCAGAGAACATCTCAAATCCTCTCGGCTACTCTTCAGGCCCGCATAAATTTCGCGAGCGACGAGGTATGCAATAACTCAGGCTGTCCTGTCAGTGCCCACCTTCTCGACTAGCCTGTGTACTCGAACAGAAATCGCAGCTCGCTGTCCACAGGCATCACAATTTGAGGGATCTTACGCTGCGCTTCGTTCTGCGAGCTATTGCTGTATTAACCTTCAACCTACCCCCATGACATATAATGGCATGAGCGTAACATGTATTCCCGCGCTCAAATACAAACGCAGTTAGCCAACTTAACTACTTACAGGCCAGTGTTCGTCGACTTCATGACCCAACTGATGATATATATGTTCTAATATTTAGTTAAGGTTTTCAGGCATGCGGATTAGCCGGACCAGACTGCGGGCCGAGGGCTTCAAGAAAACTAGAGACTCGACATCGCGACTGAGCAGTGACGAGACAGGTCGTGCCTACCGCCACTCGGTAACAGCATCGAGAGTATGCCCCTAAACAAGATATACTGATAGACTCCTCATCGTCAGTGCAAGCAACTGGTGCTTATGTTTGCCTCTAGGAGCCGAGCACCTATATGCAAGATTATCCCGCCACGAGTTACACGTTCCTTGACATCTTCGCAGATCTCCAGATTCTCCACGTTGATCCTAGCCTCAGCTTGCTCCCGCAGGTTTAAGTCTAGTGAAGATACAAGCATCCTATGCAACAGTGTGGCATGCTTTACGCAGTAGTAATAGAATGGCGGAAGGATCGACAGACAAAGCAGAGACACACGCCGAGAGACACGCCGAGTTAGAGGGTTCAAAGCAAGCAACAAACACCGGGCGCTTGGCGTTTTCCGGGTGCCTGGCGCTTTGAGCGCCTTGATCTGCTCTCTGCCTCGAGGGCCTTCGCTTGCCCTCTCTCGTTTCGTCATTGTCGACGCCGACGCCAACGTCATCGATGGCGCACAAGGTGCGGAGTCTCAGACTCACCGTACTCTTTGGGACACACGCACTCCCAACATTGTCGAACACCTACACGATCCAAGCAGCTGGGCGCTGGCGACGTCCCGCGTTGATACATGCCTTTGTTCTTCAGCCGCACTCTAAATGTGCCTCAACATGGTCCAACATCAGCCATCGCGAAAGCTCATGCACCATGTCACACTCGCGGAGAGCCGCCCTTGTATTTTCCTCGCGGAGTGCAGCCTGGCCGACAGCGGGTACCGGAGTTGAACACGTGGTCTCGTCCTTTGTCCTGAGGTGTGTCGGTTGTCTGAACCTCGAGTTTCAACATCCTGACGTACACCGATGCTGAAGACCCTTGTTCTCTGCCGTGACACTAAGTTCGAGTTAGAACGATTTTACAGTGGCTCGGAGAAGGCACTTGCGCATCTATCTCCCTACCAGGAGGTAACTTTTCCCCTCAGGTCCTATCTTGCCTCTTGAAGGCGTGACGCTAAAGTTGTCTTGGGAGTAGCCTCGCATTTTTCTGTGCAACCCTGTTGGTAGATATGTCGTGCCGCTTACGCGGTCCCCTGCTCGACCTCCGGCCGAGGATCGGTCTGCAAAGGACCCTTGTGGCCTCACAGCATACTATGTCACGGGGACATTTCTATGATACAAGCAAAGCGGGGCCGCCTTATTGTCTTTTCGGCACAAGGCTGCAATATCAGACGTAATCGTAAAACTCGCTTGAACGGCATCTCTATCCGTGCAAGCCTCGCTATGTATGCGTGACTTCGGTCGTGACGCCTCAAATCGGTTGGTGGTTTGCACTTCGTTCTTTGACAGCTGGAACCGCGTCGCCTTCAAGTCGTTTGCAGCTGGGGCTCCTGCACTGCTCTTTATGTTCTTCTTTCTCAGCTATGTGTGATCTGTGCTTCCTCAGTAAATTCTCGAGGCGATCTCTATCATGAGGCCTCGAAATCGTCAAGACAAGCGCCTGTGACTTGCTTATCTAATGAACACAGAGCCAAATAATCTCACAAATAATCTCCCATAAGGTCCCGCAATGCATTGGCGGATCAAATGATCGGCCGATGCGTTCCATCACACGGCGAGCTGTTCTCTGCCTCGAGGGCCTTCGCTTGCCCTCTCTCGTTTCTTCTTCGTCGACGCCGACATCAACGACACTGATGGTGCATAAACCGCCCACGTACCGTACTTTTCGTGATTCAGTCCCTCCCGCATGATCCGAACAGCTGGGCGCTGGCGACGTCCCGGGCCCGTGCTGGTACATTCCTTTGTTCTCCAATTACACTCTAAACGTACCCCGACACGGTCCAACAACAACCATTGCGAAAGCTCATGTGTCATGTCGCCGCTGTTGCACACACGGAGAGTCGTCCTTGTATTTTCCTCGCGGAGTGCAACGTGGCCGTCAGCGGCACCGGAGTTCAAACACGCGGTCTCGTCCTTTGTCCTGAAGTGCGTCGGTTCAAGTCTGACTCTCGAGTCTTGACATACTGGCGCATGGCACCGCTCCTGAATACTTTTTGTTATCTGCCGCGACACCAAGTTCGAGTCCGAAGGAGTTTGCGGTGGCTCGGAGAAGATGCGTGGCATCTCCCTACCAAGACGTAATTATCCCCGTCTTCCCCCCTCAGGTCCTATCTTGTCTTGTGAAGATGCGACGTCAGAATTGCCTTGGGAGCTGCCTCATATTGTTCTGTGCAATCCTGCAGGCAGATGTGTCGTACCGCTTACGCGGTCCCCTGCTCGACCATGCATGCCTCACAGCTTCCGGCCAAGGGTCGATCTGCTTAGGGCCCTTGTGGCTTCACGGCGTACTATATCACGGGGATGTTTCTATGATACAAGCAAAGCGGGGCCACCTTGTTGTCTTTGCGGTACAAGGCTGCAATATCAGACGTAATCGTACAGCCAGCTTGAACAGCATCTCTACCCGTACAAGCCTCGCTATGTCTGCGCGACATCGGTCGTGACGCCTCAAATCGGTTAGTGGTTTGCACTTCGCTCTTTGGCAGCCGGCTGGGATGCCATCGCTCTAGCAAGCTGAAGACAAGAAGTCGTCTCTAGGGACCGGGGCATTAAGATATTCTGGGAAGCGGACGTAAAGCACTAGCAGATAACCCAATGTAATTGCAGCACTGTGATACAAACATGGCAGAAAGGACATACGGAAGCACGTCTACGGAAAGGCACTACTAGTAATACTACGTGAATATCATTGAGAGCCAGCTCAACGACCAACCTGTGAACTTTTTGGCGATGACGTAGACGACCTTGATGAAAGACAGGATGTCGAACAGAACAGTGTACACAAGAGTCTCGTCGCGCCCGCGCAGCCTGCTCGCGCGCTGGATGACGGACACACGAGTCCTGATGTGTCGCCAGCGTTGCAGAGCTTCCTGTGCGGTAGGACGCGCGGCAGGGCTGCGCTGCATCATTGCCGCGATCAGCGGCCCGAGAACCTCGACGCGGAAGTATTTCTGCGGACGCAGATCGTGATCAGAAGGTAGTCGCGTTTGCAGGAGACGCGAGACTCACGTCGTGGATCTGGCTTTTGAAGACGTTCCCGAGTACGAAGATGTCCAACTTGAACGGGTCGTAAGGTATCGTGTCCGATAGCTCGGGCACGTCGCGTTTTGCGCCGAGTCCGCCCGTGACCAGCCGCGGCGCGCCTGGCGCGAGGTGCGTAGACAAACCAAAGTCTGTGAAGTAGTATCGTACCGGCCGAGGCGCACTTGCACGCGAGTAATGAGGTGCGTCGGACGACCAGTTCGGGACTGGAAGCCGCTTCCGCTGTACTGGATGATATCCCTGGGGGTACATCGAATCTGCATCCATGAGGATATTTGTTTCCGCAGCATCCCTAATATTCATGAACACAATTCATGAGCAAATATCCGGTGGTACGTACCTATGAGCGATCAGCAGGAGCAGCATATGCTAAGATATGCAGAGCTCACCTCAATGCAGAGCATCGCAAACGAAAACAGGTCGGACGCCTCGTCCTGACGACCACTAGGCGATATCCGGAACATGGGCCCGCGGAACAGCGAAGCAATCTCAGGGGAGAGGCCGACGCTCGAGATGTTCAGATGTTGTCCACGCACAGCAGGGCTGGAGCGCGCACTCCCGGCGACAAGCCTCGCGACGATCCTGCCGGCAGCGCCATCCGTGTTGTCCTGCCGCAGATGCAATTCGGGCGCGAGGTATCGCGGGTTCCCTGTCCGGCTCGACTTGTACGCCTGGCTGGCGGCCTCGACGTAGAGCGACAGCCTGAATTCGGCGATGTCGATCCGGTTGCAGCTCGGATCGCTATTGCTGTCTATCAAGATGTTTCTCTGCAGGACGAGCGTGTCAGTGAGCTGATGACGCGATAGCTCGGAGGAGTCGTACCCCGCGCAAGTCACCGTGAGCGACGCCTTCGTCGTGCATGTACTTGAGCCCCTCCGCTATCTGTCTTAGCTACCCAAGGAATGAGCACAACTTTCGCGACAGACATGTTGGGTACGCACCCATAGATTGAGCTTGGCAACACGTCCCCCCTCGGATAGCCGTCTGTAATCCACTGACGTCTCGATATAGTTCCGTACGTTGCCCCCGGCCATACGTTCAGTGACAATTGAGAGCATGTCGAGATGAAACATGATGCCCAGAGTGGGGAGGAGTCGCTCGTGCTTCAGTGTCCAACCGGCGATAATCTCAAGGTAC